CATCTTAGATTCTAAAATAAACTATTAGTTAGCTAGTAGTTGGCAATCTTTTCTTTCTTCTTTAACTCTCCACATGTAGGGCAAAGAATAGCATGGATCTCTCTAGCTATCTACCTACTCCCTCTGTCCTGTAATATAGTGTATTATAGCATTCAATATTTGTCCACAAATATAAGGCATTCTAGAGGACAAAACCTATTTTTGCATTAAATACTTTCCATTTATCAACCAATCACCACTAATCACGTTTATAATAGCGTTGGATTAGGAAATAAAATGAGGGTACATGCGTCTTTTATGTTCTCTCTTAATTTGTCTTAAAATTCGTAGAGTGCACTATATTAGAGGACAAGGGAGTAGATGACTCTATCTTATTGGAGGTGCCTTGACGGTCCTCTCGTTTTCACGTGTACATTATTTATATGGAAACTAAAAGAATATCCTGTGCATTGCTACAGGATCATGAATGATTTGAAATGAAATTAGATGACTTATATTTAGTTGCCTGATGAAGGGATAAACTATTATAAACAAATATTAATAAATGGTGTGGTATGCTAAAATTGACAAATAAATGCATGTTAGTGGATGATGTACGTGGCTTGCTGGTGTGGATATCTTTCATTGGCCCTGTTCGCTTCTCTTATAATCCGTACTTTTCAGCTATTTTTTCAGCCGGAACAGTATTTTTCTCTTACAACAAATCAGCCGGAACAGTGTTTCGGCTTTCTTTTTTCAGCGAAGCGAACAGGGTCAAATAGATATTGAATGTCCTAGTGGACTGCTGATGTGGATAGCTTACATAGAGAGATAGACATTCTAGTGGGTTTAATTTGCTTTTATAAGATATATATAGATTGGACATTGACAATATACAGATAAAAAAATGCAGCACCTCTATATTTCTTTTAAATATGAAACTTAGGAATAAGAAAACTGCTCTCTTTAGCAGACAAGGATCCATCCACTACTCTTACTCAACCAGTTGCTCATCCACAAGTCATACGTATACTAAAAGTACAATGGCATTGCATGATCCTCTAATTAATTAGTTGGAGACTGGAAATAGATAGGAGTTGACAAAACGGCAGCTGCTAGAAAAATAAAACACAAAAGTGGCCAAAAGTGGTCAGGGAAGAATGGTTCATTTTGGGTTAGGAAAAGTCTTGTTGGCTTTGGTTGGACCTGCAGGAGACTGTGTAAAGCCATACCAACTCAAACGCAGTGGCTACCAGGATTTATTTCTGACAAAGACATTATTGGATAAAAGAACCGATCGAAGTAGTTGTTATGCTATCATGGGCAATTTGTAATTGTTAATTACTCTCTCCATGTTAATTGTAGGTTGTTTTGGATTTTCTAGATACATAGCTTTTACTAAGCACACCTAGATATACATTTTATCCAAATACATAGAAAAAGATATGTATTTAGAAAAACTAGAACGACTTACAATTTGGAGTATCATCCATGGAGTTATTTGGAAATTGCAAAAAGGAACATCCGAAGGAGTTTTGAGCCGGAACTTGTTGTCAAACTAGGAAAATAGCTTGCTAATATTGTCCAAACTAATGGCATGCCCGCTTAAACTTATCAGCCGGCATGTCAGCTAGAATCTACAGGCTTATCAGCCGGCTTTAATACCAGCCGAACAGACCCTAAGAATTTGGCACTGTGCGCCACACCGTTTCATAGAACTACTCCAACTGAGTGCCCAAGGGTGAAATTTTCCTTCTAGAGAAACGCACAAAAAATGCTTCGTTCACATGGCAGCAGCCAGCAGCATGCTGCAGGAGCAAGTATAGCTATACTGAAGAATCAAAACCAGATGAAAATTTTAGCATGTACGTACGTCTTGATGCATGTCTTGTGAATTCGTCAAGTCCTGTGCCTGTCTGCGTACGTATTTACGCAGCCATGCATTTCATCTGCTGATCTGCATCTGCATGCAGGCGCCGATCGACGACTGAAACAACGCAAGACTTGTCCTGTGAGGGAGAACGGAGGAGTAGCAGCAGCAGCTCCTGTATTTTGATCCGGCCGGCCGGAACCGGAAGCTGGCTGGCTCGCCTGGCTGACGCAGTCCGATCCTCTGGTTTAATTTGCCTGGTTCGTACGACGCCGTCCGCGTGTGATATGACAGCCATTTCAAAGGTTTCATTCTTTGTTTTTTTAATGGATTTCGAGAAGAACACGCACATTCCCTCGGCCACCTGTCGACTGTCGCTGCGGATCGAATTACGTCACGTGCGTGCGTGAAGACAGGGACATGTATGCTGGTCCGTTTCTTCATTCTTTGGCTCTGGTCTCCATCAAAGTCGTTGGCCGTGGTTTGGTACATTTGTCTATTCAAAAAGGGTAAACAAGATAGAAGTTGCAACTTATAATAGACTTTCCAAGATGCAGTTGTATATAAGATGGCTGTAAACTACTATAGCATGAGCAAGTTTGTGAAGAGCTAACTACTATATGGATGGGCCGCAAAGATTCATACAGCCAGCATGATTATGTTCTATGTGTAATTTTCTCTGTGACAACATGATTATGTTAAGTGTTCATAAGAGAACAATAGTAATGATACATAAAGAACACATATTTTCTATTTTTACACACTTTTAACTATTTAATAAGCATAAACATAAATAAATCTATAGCTCAGTCATACACGATCCAATGAGCATAAAATTTTTACTACATCTCAAGCATACAATGATTAGTCCACTATAAAAATTTCACCGCTATAGGACCCAAGAAACTACAACTATGAATTAATCATAGAAAAGCATAGATCTAAAGCTAGACCAAAATTTTTGTACTAAATCATACCATATCATATGTTTACAATGTATATGTACTCATGTGGAGTCTAACAAAATTAGATTTCCTATTTTATAATTTTTCTGTAATTTACTATAATTTTTCAAAGATTCAGCCGAAATAAATATAAAAGATAAAAGAAAAAACACCTAGAGAAACAGCCAGGGAGGTCATATATCCGGTTTGAAAAGATGTGGCAGGAGTTATGTTCAGTTTTCTAGTGCAGAGAAAAAACTGACTTTTGCGATAGTTAAGGGAGATAAAGTAGACTTTGAATTGCCACTCAAACTAAGCTTATTCTGCCCCGTGGGCCTCTTTTCTTTAGCTAACCGATCATCACACATGGCCTGTACTCAGACTGCACCACATGTCCCGGACTCAGACTGCTGGCCTACAGCCCAACCAGGTCCTAGATTCGCCCATGCCATCAATAAATGTTGAGTATTCCTCAAAAAAATCAACAAATGTTGAGTCAACATTTATGCAACATTTTATAATCACTAAAATGTATTGTCTCAACATTTCTAGAAGCAATTGAATAATCATAAAAAAGTCTAGTCATTTGTAGAAACAATTAGATATGTCAGTTTCTATTAAAAAGTTGAGTTAACAATCTAGAAACAGTTACATATCCAGCAATCGTGTCAACTTTTTTTTTAAAAAAAAGGACTTTACTACGGCGTGCATGCGTAGGATTTCGACTTTCAGCGCGCACACCTTGTACAATAGCTTTTAGTCGCAAAAAAACACAGCAGCTCTCTTCCCTAACTCTGACGCCCTAGCGCCCGCGGCGGCCGCCCTCTTCCCCTCCCCCCACCGCCACCATCTTCTCCAGCTCCGGCGAGCTCACTCCGCCGCCATCTTCTTCAGCTCCGGCGAGCCTCCCCCGCCCCGACCTGGCCGGGCCGCCGCTCCCGCTACCAGGTCCCCTAAACCGCCTGCCAACCATCCCTATCGCCTGGCCTACCTACCTCCCCCGGCCGGCCATTCTATAGTCCATCGGAGTTGAGGAAGATAGGGGAGAGCTCGCCGGAACCCTAGAAAGCAGATTGAGGAGGAGAGAGGAGAGAAAGAGGAGGAGGAGGAGGAGGAGGATAGGCCTACCTGCCGCCTGATCCGGTGAATCTGCCACCGCCGCATCTGCCATGGGTGCGCGTGTGGGAGGTGGTGGGGCTTGGGCGCGGGCACGGGGAAGTGATGGACGCGAGCACGAGGAGGAGGGCGTCGTTGGAGGTGCTCGCCAGACGCCGGTGAGGATGTCGGAGAGAGAGAGAGAGAGAGAGAGAGAGAGAGAGAGGGCGTGCGGTGGGGAGGACGGAGGAGTTGAGAGAGAGAGAGGCCGAGGAGAGGAAAGACCACATCGGTACATGATGATGGGGTGAGTGGGCAGAACGTAATGAGCGTGCGCGCTCTCTAGTAAGCATTTCCGTTAAAAAAATGTTGATTCAGCGTGCAGATGAATCATCATAAAATGTTGGGTCAGTATTTCTAGAAACAGTTAAATCATAATAAATGTTGAAACAACCATTTCTAGAAGAAGCAGCTGTATATTGTACAATAATTGGGCCAAGGAGTATTAACAACAAAACCTAAAATGGAAAGATGTGGGGATCCTTCCATCCACGTTGGCCCATCATATCGCAGTTACCACCATGGCCCAACTAGTAGGAAAAGGCCCATGCTCGTTGCAATTTCGTACCCATTTTCTGATGGTTTCGCAGCACCTGGCGAATTTGCAACCAGCCGATCCATTTTCGGATGGTTTGCATATTGCAATGTTGAATGTTGTGCGCCTGCGTGCCTGGAGCAACTGTGTTCTGTAAATGTATATAAATATAAAATTTTGAAAAGCGAAACTTTCATTCTCAAAAAAAAAAAAAAGCGAAACTTTCATACTCCAAAGAAATAAATAAACCGGCGGTCAGGGTGACAAAGACGGCGCCGAGAAAGGTCAGCACGGTTGAGGCAGACATTTGCGAGGAGATTACAAGGAAGATGTCCCCATCACAGCTCATAACACCTCATATATGTTTATTTATATACGAACTGGCACACTTCACATATTTATTACGACCGATTCTATACGAATTTGCGGTATCCAGCAGAAACAATGTTTACAATCGACAATGAACAGTGAATGTTTCAACAATCTGGACACTCAGCGCACAGGTGCGCGGAGGCAATCAGGACCTAAACCTGTTCCGGATGATCTCGTACACCACTCGGAGGAAGCTCTTGGATGATTCGTCTTCAGGCAGCTGCAGGAGCTTTGTGATCCGCGCGTAGGCAAACTGGTTCTTGGGGAATGAATCCTGGGGTATATCTGCCTGAGGAGTGTTGTGGAGCTTCGGGTTTGAGAGTGCCCATTGCATTGCCCATATGGCAAGCGGGCGCATGTAGCATAAGGACCTGTACTCGTCGTCGTTGTTCCAGGCTTCAGGAGTTTGGAATGAGTACCTGAGGAAATCAAATTGTCAGGTTTCCTTAATAGCATAAGAAAGGCCACACTATGCACTGTCCATTATACAAAATATAAATCTAAATTGAGTGGAATTAGTGGTATATGTTAGCGTCTCACTATATGTTTCTGTGGATTATATTCAGAGAAAAAAGAGGTAACCCATTTAGTGTACAAAATTAAAGTTCAGGAGAAAAAAAAAACCAGGCAGGTAGAGGGAGATCCCCAACCTTTATTCACTACATGTCTTGCTGGTTTTACATTATAAAAAGTTCAGAACATAGAGATTTAGGAACAAACTTTCTATCCCCAAAGTTAATGCATTCTTATAACAAAGTCCATGGCACTATATTAAAAAATAACTAGGCTCAGGTAAAGTTCTATATCTCAGATGTTATACCATGTCCAAACACATACACACCTGTTGACAGCAAAAACATCAAACCTCAATTTATATGCACATATACTCACCCAAGTCCTTCTGGAGACCAGGCAGCATGATAGATCCCTTCAGCTGTTTTAAATCCCTGCTCAACCATGCCTTCTTGAATCATGCTTGCAGCTAGTGCATATGTCACCCCTGGCCATATCTCCCTAGACTGCATTGCAGACATGTCCACAGTGCCATCTGGCCACATCCCATTCATAGCTCCCCTTGTACCACCCTTGAACTTCATCACATTGAAAGAATATATCTTCTCTAGTGCACTTTGTGCTTTATCTTTGTCAACAATTGGGAAGAGACCACAGGCTTTGGCATACCTGGAACAAGTAACAGCCCAGCATCAAATTTATTAGTAAACAAGTTTAGCAGAACTTTCATTATGCTATTTGATTCAAAGATAACATTCAAAATTTTGTGATGGAAAAACTAATCATGGAAACATAATGTTGTGCACAATCTTGACTTCATATAAAGTTATCTACTACTGGAACTGGAGCTCACTGTCATTCAGATACAAGACTGGTCCTTCACAAGTACTCTGCTATTGTATGCTTTATTCTACTTAAACACTTTTGTTTGCTAAGCCATAAGTTGATTGCACGAACGAGCAGTTATAGTATAGGCATTTTAGATGTTACTAATAGCAATGACAAAAAGGAGTTGATTTTACATATTAGCTTCCACAAATATTTACACAAACACGTAATAAACATACTGAATGGAGAAAGAAATGTATTTCCTAGAAAACTGGCAGCAACTGTGCATGTTTCAACTCGACTTCATCCAAGAATTTCACGAATATTTATTACGTATGTCAATCGATGATCGAAACTGAAAACTGTTAGCGATTCATGTAATGTGTTAAGGGGTAAAGTTGTATCTATTTATCATATTAGACAACATTTAAAATTTAAGAAAGAATTAACATATATTAGTGATATATACCATTGTCCAGCCAATTGATCTGCTTGGATAGATGTGCTAACTTTGTTGTCACCATCATCATAACTGAAGTAAGAACCATTCCACAGCTTGCTATAGACAGACTTGGCCTTCTCATATTTGTCCCAAAAAGCTTTTCAGAAGCTTTGTCACCAACCTCACGTGCCAAGGCCGATGCTGCCTGAAGAGCAGCCACCCAAAGACCACCACAGTATGCACTTATACCAGCCATCGACCACACGTCATATGTTTGATCTGGGAAATCCTCATTTTCTATCATCCCATCTTTATCCTTGTCAAATTGCTCCATATATGCCATTGCTATATAAACTGATGGCCAAACAGCTCGAGCAAAGGATTTGTCGCCTGTATTACAACATCTCTATAAACTTGCAGCACAAACTTTGGATTCAAATCTTTCCATCGATCTGTATTATAGAGCGTGTACGCATTCACTTTGAACCATGGGTCATATAACCCAAGATCATGAGGAACAGCGCCGAGCACTTTTCTTGCAGCCCATTTTCCATCATGCAAGATCCTGAGCTTTTCAGGATCATGCATCATAACAGCAGCAGCAAAGTCTCTCTGGACGCTAAGTTGGAGTTTTGGAAACAACATGATCAGTGAAAATGATGCATAAAAATGAACATCATACGTGTTCCACATATAATACTCGATGCCCTCGAGGTATAGAAACTGGCCAATGTTCTCTTCACCCTGAAGCAAAGTTGTTCCTATAGCAGAATTTGATGCAATAGACGCATGCATCCTCTCAAATACTGATGCCATTCGATGAAGAATATCAGAAGCAGTATTATTCTGTCGAACCATCTCATTGAAATCATCAGATTCACCATTTAACATGTCAAGAGAAAACTTTTTCCAGCCAATTGCTGTCAAGCTTTGAATTGGTGGCAATCCATCTGATAATGTCTCTGAGTTAATTCTCAGGAAAAGTAATTTGCTTCATTTAGAGGAAAAAAAAGAAATTATGGATGCATACCTGTCCATATAGTTCCTCCGGCATTGAGATAGTAGAGTTCATTGAAAAGTGTAACTGGATACCTGTCGAAGAAAGTTCATGCTATAAATCGACATTCAGTAGCCTCAGATCTTGTGTACCAAGTAAATGAATTATTAAGGTTGGAACAAACCAAGCAGGAAACCTCTCATCTTGCAAAATAGGATTCTGCCACTCCTCGATTTGCCTCTCCCAGGAAGCATGCTCTATAATTTATTAAGCATACAAAGGAAGTCAGCAACAAATGTTAATAGGAAGAATATGACTACAAAAGAGAAGAGTCCAATCCAGGATGTTCCCCTTTCAGATACAAGGACCTCGTTGGTGATGACATTGTCAGCAAAAAATTAGTCTATACTGTGTCAATGGGTGTATAACAGAAAAAGAGAAATGAACTAGTCTTTCATGAAATAAGTTTGGACACAGTAAAATTAATTGGATGATACACCGTAAAATTAATTGGATGATACACGGTAAAATTAATTGGATGATACCAGTGTGGCAGTAATCAGGGGAGGAATCACAAGGAATCTCCACAGTTAGCAATTTGACAGGGAACCACTCAGTTTTCCTAATTGATAACAAAGCTTGCACATGGAAATATTAATTTAATTCGTTTCAAATACTTATGTAAACTTATTAGTATTAATGTTGCAAATTTAAAAATAGTTAGTGAAAATAATTTATCATTAAGACCCATACTGTCCAGTTGTTAGAATATTTCAGAAACATGCTGAGTTCATGTAAAGTGGATTATTGTAGTATGGGTGTATGGGCGCACACTGAAGTAAGAAAGGAGTGCATTAAATAGAATTATAGTGAGGAAGTGGATTATACCAAGAATGGCATCATGAGCAAGGGCTGCTGCTGCATCACCGTCTGTGCCATAAAATTTGGTGTAACGCCTGAAAATCATGGAACGAGGTTAGTTTCAGTTGCACTACTGTTTTGTTCATTACTGGAAATTGTGCTGTTCTAACCTATGATAGGTTTTCCCACTAGAGAACTTCACTTCAGGACAAGCCCATGCAAGTGAAAATGAAATATCCTGGGTTGCCTTGGGAGACAGCTTAACTGAAGCAGCAATAGCTGCCCCTATTGATGATCCTGGTCTGGAGCACATCGATGTCTTGATGGGATCAAGATGATCAAAAGATCCATGCTGCCACGATGGGAAGGAAGTTATTTTAGCCTCTCATACATACTACTAACATATTTTACCAGAAATTAAACTGGATACGGTGGTAGAATATTTGACACATTGAACCAAAGCAATGTATACAAGCCCTGAAGCTAAAGCTAAAGCAGAGTATTTGGCATCACTTTAATCAGAATGTAGGTAATCATGAAGGTAAACCTAAGATGAAATTTTCTGAGTCAGAAAATGAAATATCTTTGCACCAGAGAGTCCGTCCCAATTTTAGCTAGCCTGTTGACTTTTACATACCCCAACTACAATTCATAAGTAAAGATTTCATTCAATCTTTACACTTGTGCATGACATTAGGAAAAGGCTCATTCAACCTGTCTACCATCTCAGAAACAACTTTCACTAACCCACACCAGGCGTATTCCAAGATTATATTTATATGGCGGTACACAATTAAACATTAAAAATTGAGCCAACTACCAATGTTTCCACTTTTAGCAGTTTGGAATATTTTGAGTTGTCTGATCCATTACATATTCTACAAAATAAGTGACAAACTCAGAATTCAAACATAAACAACTTTCAAAAGATTGACACAGGAATGCACTGTCTGGTACCATCCACTATCTGACATGCAGTGCATAAGAAGCAACATAGAACAACAATGAAATGCTGCCTAAATGAGAACTGTGGTTCTTGTTATAAAATAAACTGATGATCAGCTACATGTGCAACTGCATAAAGGTGATAGTTTCACCAATGAGGCAGGAATGTAAACTCAGCATACAAATGCAACTAGTCTTTTCATTATCTATTATCTTATCTTATAATAGGAAATGCCTTGTTATTTCAGAGTGCTTCCAGCTTCAACCAACCTCTTTCACATAATTCCACATATCTTTAGCTGTGAATTCATCAGATGCAGAGCTCCTAGATATCACAAAGTAAGGACATTCAGAGATAAGGATATCTTCTTTCTCCTGTGCTGCTATCACAAAAGTTACAGGTGGTTGACCATCTGCTGTTCTGCTCTCAGATACATGACATTTAAGATATTTAGAATTAGAAAATTGCCCTTGGCTGAGTTCAGTTTAACCATATATATAACTCCTAGGAGACAACATGTTTTCTAAGAAAAAATAAAATTTTTAGTTACCTGTGATGTAATAGTATGCCATGAACATACCATCCTTTTCTCTGTCATCCATTAGGACATTAAAAATATAACCCGACAACTTATTTATTCAAGAAAAGCTCGAAAACCAGCTAAAAAATTGTACTTATTGTTTTCTTACATCATACTGGAGTTGGAATGATATCCAGTGAGTTCAGATTTTCCACCAACAGAGTTCTGCATGTACAAACATAAGGCAAGAAGGTTCAGAGAAAAAGGGATACAAAATGTAAGTATTCAATAATGATAAAAGTTATGATATATCTGTTCACAAAAAAAAAACATTACTGAAACTTACAGCCCATGTAAAAAGCAAAGTCACATCAGCAGCTGTATGTCCTGAGTTTGTTACCTGAAATTTTTTTACGTGATTGCCAAAGGTGTGGAGCTATATCATAAAGTTAAGAACAGGTGAAATAGTAGATTGAAGGAATTTAATGTATGTAGTATTACTGTAAAAGTGAATACTGCAACTGGATAGCTGCTCTGCTGATAATTGTGTGGAATAATTGAGAAATCTGGCGGCACACTATATTGAGCTCAGGATCAGGTTCTCTAACAAGCACAATCAAAATGAGACAAAGATAGAAGTATGTTAAACAAAGAGAATTCTGTAGTTATTGTAATACCATCATATACTGTCCAGGCCCTAGGGTAAAGGGCATGGTAAGTAGATTGTTGTCCACTCATATTCCAGTCCCAGGATCCAATTCCTGAAATGTCACTTCCTCTGCATTTAAAAAGCTCTAAGGAATTTTTCAAGTACTCAAAAAAATCAAAACTATTCCCTGTTATAAAGGAAACTCATGGAGTAAAACATCAAGTGTGCTTACTTCGGCAAATCTGGTTTCCCAGGATGTAACACTGTGGAATATTTTCTACCATCTTGGCGGGAAATGAAGGCCTAAATGGACAACACTTAAATATCAAACAAACAGCAAACATTGTATTTAAAATTCTTATTGCAGTTCTCATCAGCTAATGCATGGGTTAATCCAGCAGATACGAGCTTGAGAAGCATCAAAACACACCATAGTTCATTAATTAAAGCACGAAAAGTCTGACAAGGTGCATCAGCACCTCAGGGCATTAAGCCAGTACAAAGTGAGATTGCATTAGAAAAGAGTATCTCAAATTCCAAGAATCATCAGACACAAAAGAACACATTTATCAGCCAGAAAGAAAGTGGAGAAAACTAAAGACTTACAGAAAATTGATTTGCCAATACAGGTTTATCTTCACAAGTTCCTGGAAACAATTGCCAGCGTTGGAAATCACCTTTGTAGCTTCTTCCCATACTTCCTGCACTACACTTCCAACAATCAGGAAAATACATAAATATGGCAACAAGCTTCATCAAACAAGAGGAAAACATTTTTAGGGCACGCACTACTTGAAACTGTTTTTTATATCTCCCTTTCGCCCAGTAGGGCACACACTCCTGCATATTTCAGTGTGGTGACACCCCTGACCCCACTACCTAACAGGGAAATAATAAAACGGATGGCTGAGTTGCTGAGAGCGACCTTTGATTTACCAGCGTAGTGTTTAAGATGGCAAGTGAGAATTAATGTAGGTAGCCCGTGTCATTTCAAGTGAAACAATAAAGTAAATACAATATGCTTATTCTTTCTTCATGGCACTTGAACTACTTAAATGCTATACAAACATGTTTAGCAAACAAAGTGATGCATAGGGAATCTCGCAAGCTCTTTACAGTATCAAGCAGTAAGAGCACCCTAAATCTAGTGAACATAAGTTTCCTGGAAGATCTTATATAATATAAAGTATGATGAATATACACTCAATATTTCCAGTAAACACATATTACATAAAGACAAGAAGATATACCCTATACCACCAAGTGGGACACCCTGACCAGATCTTGCAGCCCCTTTTTCATAGGATCAATAACAGCAATCTGTAGAAAACTAACGAAGCTAGAACTTACATGGTAAAAAAAAGGGCAGACCAGGTGTCGGAGGCTCCCACATGAGTGGGGTCTGGGAAGGATAAACCGAGACAAGCCTTTCCCCGCAAAATCTGCGGAGAGGCTGCTTGAACCCACGACACTGGTGACTCGGTGAGACAGCTCTCACCACCGCACCAGGCCTGCCCTTCTTAGAACTTACATGGTATCCAAGTGAAAACTGAAGCATATGGAACATATCAGTTTTCCACATGATAATTGTTATTATCCATGAACATGTGAAAATAATGAAACATACTCGCCCTTTTGAAGTTTCCTCAACGATATGTAAACCAAGACGTAAACCAATACCAGCCTGCAACGGTAAAATGAAGATTATGTGTTTGTGTGTGTTGCAGAAGGCAGTGGAAGAAAAGGCTAGGCTATGCAACGTAGAAGAAGTACCAGCTGCACTGTCTCTCTCTCCATGTAAGTCTGAATGGCGGCAAATCATGTCTAACATGAGTTAGCTTATGTTCCCAGGTCAACACTGGAGTTGGCCAGGACAAACCTTTTCCTGACATCAAAAAGAACACCCCATTTGAACCCAAAATACAATGGGAGATCTTAATAAGTCAGGAATACGGATGAATAGTACTCATATAGTCGTATTGTTTTTACAGGTGGTTGATAGAACCATTCAAATTATGAGTTAATAGAGCTAACTGGAATCATGAAAACAAAGATATGGGTAAAATTATCATTCATAATTATATGCCCAGATTGATCATACATCAACCCATAAAATTAAGCATTTTATACTTATGTAAATAAAAATTGGATTGTTAATGGCAAACACAATTGTGACTGATTAAATTACTGAGTTTTCATAAAGTCAACATAATATGGTGTGGCAGTAGCTTTTATATGAATAAAGGAAGGAGTATCTCACTTCATCGCCATTCATATGTGCAGGTGGACGATTCCGAGACACACCCTTTGGTTGCTCATCAACATGAGTCTGTACCATGTTTCTTATTTCTTTGGACTAACCCTGCAAACAGGTTAACATTCACTGAAGCAATTATATATTAAATTCATGTGACCATAAATATCAACAAAAGAATTTTACAAACTACAGGATATTAGAAGTGACGAAGAGCGTGAACATTCACAGACATTTCAAATCACACAGAAAGGCAAACAAAGGATATCTGATCTGTAAATACATCAGAATTCAGAAATGTGTCAAAATGGAAACAAAAAAAAATGATGCCATAATACAGCTGATATATCCAGGAAATATAATGTCAGCAAGGTATACCAAAGTCAAATAAATAATTGTTCAAACTTTAATCAAGGTCTAAGAATCAATTTGTCAAATTGATATCTGATATCTCAAAGGATCCACTAAGTCTAGTTTGCTTTAAATCAGAGAAATATCACTTAGGTGCTGTAAGCCTGTAACTGAAGATGAGTAAAGGTAGGCAAACAAATCATTTGGTTGAAGCATATAGAATCAAAGTTTGTGTCAATTTTACGTTACAAAAACACATAACCCAAATTTCAGACAGATCATAAGGTGTATAACACAATGTTGTATAAAGATGATAGGCAGTGTTGATTGAAACAAATTCAACACATGGAATCAACCAGGAATGTTAGGTAAATAAATATGGCACAAAGGTCAGAATTCTCTAGAGGTGCATCGGACTAGAAGAGAAGGAAAATTATATTGCTTGCCCAAGTGAACCTTCAGTGTTGACTGTTAACAGATGAACAAATCATGTATTACTGTTAAAATACCAAGTTCACGCACGAATAACTGGGGTTGGATTGGCGTGAGCAACGGAAGATATAGCAGAAGAAAATAAAATAAACAATCCATCCCAGCACTGTTCTGCTTCATCATCCTTAAGACGGAACCAATCGAAAGCCCAAACATCACAGGCACTCTAATGTGACAATTTCGGTGGGGGCAAAACCCAGATTCTCCAACCAAATTCCAAGAACCGGCCACAAAACAAAATAGAGGAAGGCAGGCGCGATCCCATGGGGCGCCGCCGCGAGAACAGTACTCTCACCGAAAATCCCGCGACGAGCACCGAGAAAGGGGACACCAGGCTCTCCAGCTAAGATCCGGAATCGATCGGCGTGCGAATGCGGGGCGGGAACCTGGCCTCCTCCTCTCCTGAGTCCCCCGAGAAGGGATCGATCGATCGGACACTGCGGCGCGGAAGAAGTGGGCGTGGCTGTGGCTTGTGGGCAGCTGGCAGCTGAGACAAAAGAGATGAGAAGCGCGCGCCTGGTCTTCTGGGCCCACGGCAATGGACACACTGCCACTGCGCACGTCGGCACGTCTTCTGGGGCCCACGGCAATGGACGCAGTAACGCACCACTGCGCACGTCGGCACTCCGGATATTTTTTAACCGTGTGTTTGGTGGTTGTGGGACAGTGATAGGTGTGTACGTGGCGCAAGTTTTTATAAAAAATACGTGAAACATTTTGTCGGTGTTTCGGACCGGGGTCCTCAACTAACCAGTAAATATGAACTGCGTGCCCCTAATCTCTGATGGTGATGTAAAGAGACACAAGGTTTATACTGGTTCAGACAATCGATGCCCTACGTCCAGTCTAGGAGATCGATTTTGTATTCTTTGCACCGAAGTACTTGTAGTAAGGGGTTACAAAGTGGAGTGAAAGAGGAAGCTAGTCCTGTGTCTCGGCGTGGAGTGGTGCGGTCGCTTGAGTCGTTGCTCTCGGAGGCGTGTGGGAGCGTCGTGAATTGAGGAGTGCGTTTTTTTAGCGTGAGGGGCGGCGTGGTCTCGATCCTAGAAACGGCCACCGCTTCCTTTTATAGCCACAAGGAGGGAGCCGAGGAGTACATGAGAGAGCTACACGTGGAGCCTTAGTGAGGAAGAAAGATCCAAGATCTTGTGACCTATTCCTATAAGCGGCACAAAGTGTTGGGAGTGGCAATTGGTACTTGATCCTTTGAGTGCGTCATGTCGGCCATGCCCGAGGTCATTGAACTCGTAGGGGTCCTCGTTGGCGTTTAGTCGGCATGGCCCTCCTCAGTAGGTGACATGCCGCGTGCCTTGTGAATTTTTGACTTGGTAGTTCGCCGAGGGCTGGCGGTGTTTGTGGTCGTGCGCGCCAAGGCTTGATTTGCCGAGGCACGGGAGGTGACCTGAGTGCGATGGCGCGCGGTCTCGGTGGTGTTGTCGTGCACGGTTTAGGTAGAAAAGCGCAGGCGTGTGTCCGCAAAGCACAGTAGTCCATGCGCACCGTAAGTGGGGAATGGTAAAAAGGAGATTTGACCGCCGTCCATTGCCCTGTTGCTATGCCCCGCTTAATCGTGGACTGATGTAGGCGCAAAGCGTGGGTACTTACACGGATGGGATGGCCCACCGGAGGCGATTGAGGCGGAGACGACGAGGATGCGGGGGCGAGCCCGGCCTCGGCCGAGGCGGAGAAGGAATAGTATCGTCCGAGACCTGCCGAGGTCTCGGACGAGGCGAAACAAGCGATTGGGCTCTCCTGCGGTTTCCGAGACTCTGAGGACATGGACTTGACCTTCCATGTTGCTTTGTCCTTGGCACGGGGTTAGGTATACATGATGATGAGCACGATGGCGAGGTAACCCCTATTGCGCCGGCCCCCATCCCGTCGGTCGTTACGCCTGCATCTATACTCGAGTCTGGTGGCGTTTGCTGGGGAGTAGTTAGGCGCGTTAATCTGGACGTGACGTTTCGTCGGAGGAGTTTGGTCGGGACGGCGGTTACTGAGTATATTTCAGCGAGCCCGGCCTCGAGCGAATCGGAGAATTGGCATCCCATCAAGGACCTTTTGGGCGAGGCCTCGGCGAGAAGGTCTCGGCGAGAGGGCCTCGGCAGGCGCTTTTGGCCTTTCGTATGAGGCCTCGGCGAATCGGAGAATTCCGCAAAGACACAGCGATAGTCTTTTGGCTTTGATTTTTGTAAGGTTTAAGCAACATTTTGGTTCTTGCTTAGGGGTACCCCTTCTTGTGGTATCCGGTAGCCCCCGAGCCTCGGGAGGAGTGCGGGCACTCTCACGAGGTTTTGACGAGACTTAGTTCGCAATAGCTCTGTCGGAATTGTGTTTTGTACTTGGTGGTTCCGGTGGAGTGCTGCATGGCTACTGGATGATGTAACTTCCGAGGCCCTAGAGAAGTGGGTTTACTCCTCCGGGGCTTTTTCCGTTTGAGCAAGGAGTTTTATCGTGCTTCTTTGGACCCATGAATCTGAGTTTTGGGGCTGGGTCTCGGCAAACTTGCGGGAAGAGCCCCATAACCTCTGCACAGGAGAGCGAGAGAGGCCGTCGGTGCTCTCCTGGCTTTTATACACCTCTCTCGCGTGAGGGTTTGTCTGCTGAGACCCCCTCGGGTGTGAGCACAGGTCATGGGCCCTCGATATGCTCTGGGAAGAGAGCCTAGCCTCTTGCACTGGAGCAAGAGGCCGTCGGGGAGTACCCTGGCTTTTGTATGACCCTCGCGCAACCTTTTTGTTCGGAAGGAGGGGTTTGCTTGCAGGCCCCTCGAGTCTGAACACAGGTCATTGGGTCTCGACAAAGTGTGCGGGAGAGCCCCTTAGCCTCTGGGGAGGTCTATCGGGGTTCCCCTGGCTTTTTATACGACCCTCGTGCTTCCTTTTCGTTCGAAGGAGGGTGGAATATGCCGAGGCTACCCTCGGTGGGCGACAGAAGTGACACTTCCGGTGAGCTGCTATCAGGTAAGTCCAAGTGGAGGCCCATGCCCCATTCGATAAAATTGGCTAGTGGTCCAGACGCACTCCAAAAGTGCAGAGGGCTTCTCTATTAGGTCCCAGGGCCGTTCAATTGGCCACTGGGGCTCGGCGCCCCTACGGTGGGATGCCATTCGAGAACTTCCTGCTAGGTCTTGGACATGACTTAGGGCATCCCGGCGATCGCTTGCTCGGGCCACGACCATGTCTGGGCTCTCCCATAGTTGTCCACGACTCTTGTTGTCTTGGGGCGGTGTGTGAAACCCTCGGTGGTCTAGCCTCCGAACCCTTGGACCATCTTAGACTCGGCGCCCTTTTGTTGCTTTTTTCCGAATCTATGAGTGCGGGCTTGGGTCGCTTGTCCTTGTCTTAGGTGGTGAAGGAGCCCCAGAGCCTCCGCATGCAGAAGCAAGAGAGGCGATCGAGGGTCCCCTAACTTTTTGTTCAGCCCTTGCGCATCCTTTTCATTCAGACGGGGGGTTTGTTTGCAGAGCCCACTGTGTATGCGAACCAGGTCGCTAGGTCTCGGCAAACCTCTGAGAAGAGCCCCTAGCCTCTGCATGGGCGAGAGGGCCATCGGGTGCTCTCTGGCTTTTATACGCCTCTGGCGTGTGAGGGTTTGTTAGGCTGAGACCCCCTCGGAGTGCGAGCCTAGGTCATGAGGCCTCGGCATATCTCTGGGAAGAGCTCCCTAGCCTCTACCCGGAGCAAGAGGGCCGTCGGGGAGTATTCTGGCTTTTTGTACGACCCTCGCGCGCAACCTTTTTCGTTCGGAAGGAGGGTTTGCTTGCCGAGCCCCCTCGAGTCTGAACCTAGGTTGCTGGGTCTCGGCAAAGTTGCGTGGAGAGCCCTTAGCCTCTGTGAGGGGAGGTCTGCATTCGGGGGTTCCTTGGCTTTTTATATGACCCTCACGCTTCTTTTCGTTTGGAAGGAGGGGTGGAATATGCCAGGCTACCCTTGGTGGTATGGAAGTGTGACACTTCCGGGAGCTGCTATCGGGTAAGTCCAGTGGAGGCCCGTGCCCCATTCGATAAGGGTCAGCTAAGCGGTCGTAGAGCGCACTCCAAAAAGTACTAGAGGGCTTCTCTATTGGATCCTAGGGCCGTTCGATTGGCCCTAGGGGCTCAGTGCCTCCCTACGGTGGGATCCCATTCGGAGAACTCCCTGCTGGTCTCGGACGCGACTTTGGGCGTCCCAAGCGTTTCGCTTGCTTGGGTCTCGGCCATGTGCGGGCTCGCCATGATCGCCACGTGACTCTGTTGCCAC